CTGAGTGAGGAACAGAAAGAGAGAGTGAGATGCTAAATATCCCTGCACGTGCCAGGATCAACCTGCAGGATGTTGCAGCCTGCAACCGATTCTCCGATCATATACCGTTTTCAGACATGATCTCTGGAGATTGTCAGCACAATTGAGTCCACACCTTCTTCAGTGTCCATCACTGACAGTATATTGTAGGTCTTTTAGAGGAGGATTCCCTAATGGCAAGTAATAATAGTGATGTAGCTCTGGAGCATTAACACAGGCCACTGATGGAGGGGTGGCCAAAGTGTTTGAGTCCACAAAACACTTTTGGAGTCTCAGGGGTAAACTGTGTTGCAGCCAAAGTGACTCCCTCTTCAGACGTTATAAAACAACAGAAAAACCATTACATCCCTCTGTGGTGTCATCCAAGTGTCCACAAGCCTTGACATTCATAATCAACTTGAATCTGTGTTTACTCTGTGATATAAGCCTAAAACTTCACTACTGGAAGTAACGATGCAAACGCGTGCCCATGGGAGAGAGTGTGTGAGGTGTTCCGGTGTGTGCGTGAGGATATCAGAGGACATTAAGGGTTAAAACATGGTGTAAATGATACAAGTCGAATATGAATGTCAGGGCTTGTGCACCACACGAGCAGTATGGAGGCATGTTATGTTTTTTTTCTGTTGTTTTTTTACATCTGAAGAAGGAGTCCCATTTACTTGAATTTTATTTAAATTTGGTGCAAGGCTGTTTACCCTAGAGGCTCCAAAAGTCTTTTGTGGACTCAAACACTTCACCATCCCCTCTATCGGCATAGCCGTGAGTAGATAATAAGTGAATTTTCGTTTTCTGGTGAACTATCCCTTTAATATGGAATTTGACCCTTGGACTGTAAAGGTCATTATAAGGAAAACCAAATTATATAATTCAACAAAAGTTGAGGACCAAACTGTTCCGAGTCAGTTGGCGATCATATTGAAGTTAATAATTCCGTCACAAAAGTTATCAAAGTTCATCCTGCAGAGCATAAAGGGCTGAATTAAAATCCATTTCAAAATTATTGAGACATTTCACTTAAAAAAAAAAAAACACCTCTACCTGCTGCTGGCCTGTTATGAAAGTGATGAGGTTGCATTGTTGGTGGCCTCCTGTTCATGAAAATCAATCTTAGAGTTGAAATAATTTAGTCTAATTTAATCCCTTAGATCGCAGCTAGCGATGCTTTAAATATCTGCTGAATAAAATACAAGCTTCCTCCTACACTACTCCATTTTTTTCTTCACATTTCTACTGACTAGAGATGAAATAGTTACTGGTTTCAAGATTAACTGCAGTACAAGTCCCGACGGTTAGTATTACCATGATAAAGGTCCAGTGTGTAAGATTTAGGTGAAATGGATCTATTGGCAGAGATTTAATGTAGAATAATCCTCATGAAGTTTTCTCTAGTTCGTTTCATCTCAATTGTATGAATTGTAGTTTTCTTTACCCAAGAAAAGGCCCTTTATATTTAAATACTTTATATTTACATTGAGGGGACCCTCTCTAAGGAGGCCGTGATGTTTTTTATACCGGTAGTCTCGACTGGACAAACTAAACACCTTTGAGTTTACCACAGGTTCTTTCTCATGTTTGGAAGGAGAGGGTGAGGTGAGGGGTGTTCAGCTGCAACATGCAATCTCAACACTAGATATCACTAAATTCTACACACTGAACCTTTACAATGAAATTATTTAACCGCGGTTGATCACCACAGTGTAAAGCTCAGGTTACAAAACTTTACAGCATCAACCACAGTGAGCAACACTGTCCCACACACAGGTGAGCTGGTGTAGCATGCAACGTGGGTTTGTTTAGTGCACTTGGAAAGTTTACTTAGTCTGTTTGATAGCCTCAAGGAGTTTGAGACACATATTTAAACATATTGAAAACACACTTTCCACGCACACGGTTCACCTCACTCAACACGAGACATGACTTGCACAGCCAGGACAACAGCATTAAACTGACCAGAATGATCTGGATTTAATGATGCAACATTTGATTAATAACTAAATAAATGTGATCGTCAGTTTAGCATGTGAAGAGCGATAGAGACAGTAGTGCAATGCACACACACACACACACACATTCCTGTAGACGAGAGAAGTTCATTGTTGCAGAAGAAGCGACGCCCCATTCATTCAGGAACATAAATGTGAATTTAGCAGGTTTTCATAAAGATCAGTTCTAAGTGTGAGTGATTAGAAAACATCAGAGGAGCAGAATCTGTTGTGGCGCTGCCAAGAGGGGGCCCAGGGGGCCACCTGGATACTATATAATGGAGGCTATAATGAGAGTTTTTTACCACACAATCCTGAGTGCATTGTTGTGGAGAGCGTCAAAATTGTTACATGACTGTTGATTTTATTATTTATTGATTTATTCATCATTATATATACTGTGTATAATGATGAATGATGATTTTTATTTCATTTCTTTCTGCTGCTGTAACAAGTAAATTTCCCCATTGTGGGGTAGGAGAACTGTTGGTCATCTCTGGCCATAGCTAACAAATGATGATACTTTTTCCCAATCTTTGACATTTGGGGTCAACTTCTGCACTTGGAGTAAGAAGCGGTCAACCTTCAATTAATAATGAAAATACTGTGATCATTTTTATTGATAATTATTAGTTAAATTTTTGCATAAGTAATAACCGTGATCATTTTTATTGATAATTATTAGTTAGATTTTTGCATCAGTAATAACCGTGATCATTGTATTGATTGTAATTGTGATACAGTTTAACTGTTGACAGTGGTCTAATTTTCTCTGTGCTTCATTATGTCTCTGCTTTAATGTTTTAATTAACTTCACTGTTTGTCTTGTTTTTATCTCCACTTTGCAGCTGTGACATTTCACCACAGATATCATTAAACTTTCATCTGCAGTCTCTGAAACAAAGGTCAGAGGGTTTACTGATGCTGCCAGAGACTAAATATTAAATCAGATTATCACCAACATCTCACTAGGGGGGTGTACCAGTGGGATTCCCTTATGCTGCATGAATCAGTTTCACAACATACTAACTCTAATGATTGCTTTTCCTAAAAAAGATGTAAAAACAAATCAACTTTGGGTTCAGTTTACTTTGTCTCTTTCCAAAGACATGTCTTTCAATTTGCTTCTTTCCGTCATGTCAGACATACAGGCAGATGATGAGGATAAGAAACAAGAAGAGGGGAAAGAAGGAAGGAGCAGTGAGATGAAGATGAAAAAGATGACGAGAAAGAGGTGAATTAAATGCTTCTAATGTGATTGAAAATGTGTGAGAGCAGGAATAATTATAACAAATATATGTGAAACTCTGCAGTAATATTGATATAAAGATCAGAGCAAGGATATAAAAAAAAAATTCTAAAGTTTCAGTGTTCCCTGGAGGCATCAATGATTGTACAGTGGAAGTTTGCAACTCCCAGAACTCTGGTTCATCAAGTCAAACTGAGACAATTTGTTCAGGGATGTGATAAAGAATCCAATAGTCTCTCAAATTAGCTTCTTTGTAGTGATGAAGAAAAAGATGACCATCTCAGCGGCACTTGATCAACTAGGTCTTTAGTAGAAGAGTAGAGCAGCCACACACGAGCCATACTGGTACGAGTCAGAGACATAAGGCAGCAAGCTCGACACATTCAAACTATATTTAAAGGACTCTGAGAGCACAAGGGAAAGAAATCTTACATTTCAGGAAAATGTAATCATTCCTCTGCCCTCTGCCATGGAGGGATGGGAGGACAACCCGAAAAAATTAAAAAGACCCACAATCATTTTCACGGTAACATATTCTAAATGCTAAATCACAGCAGACTAGAGCTAACCCAAAGAAGATAATGAAAAGGCAAAGACCGGCGTGGGCATCGGTGAGCCATTTTCAACTTTGAACATATCCCACTGCTGGACTTTACAAGTCACTGCTAAGCAGCAGTTGATTCAAAAAGCAACTTCATCCTCATTTGCTTCAGATAGCTGCAATTTAATTCTAGCTAATGAAATTAAAATTTCATGATATCTACAACACCATTCTGACAAATTCTTATTAAAGGCATCTTAGATTGAGGCAAATTAAAGATGTCTTGAACTAAAATTAAAGATTATGATATAATATATGTATATCCATGAGAAAGCACACACACACACACACACACACACACATCAATAAGTAGTTTGAATCTAACTATGTAATGACTCTGAAAAGTTTTAAGTAGTTAAAACAGAATTAATAATTGCCTCTAAAACCAGACTTCTACTTTGTGATGCTGTTCATGCAGCCTTACGCCTCTGGGGGAGCAGTGGTGGAGATTTTAAGATGAACTTTGAGCCTCTGACAACATGAGATGATGTCAAGTACAGTAGCGGCTGCAGGAGAACCAACCCTCAGAATGTATGCTATTCCAGCTTAATTGGCTCTGGAGAGGTTTAAGATTTTTCCGTTTGGCCAGAAAGATGAAAGATGCTCGCTGGCTGACTCTTGCAGGAAGGCTCGAGGGGAAAAGCAAGAGTGTCACAGCTGAAAATAATCATGTCTGGTTGGTCTGACCTCGATTGTTTAAACAGCGGAGCATCAGAGAAGTTTTTTTTACAAGGTAGACCTGGGGTAGAGAGTGTAATATAACTGCAGCAAAGATAAANACATAAAATAAAACGTTAAAACAAACCGGTCAAATGTTCTGTGTGTAGAATTTAGTGACATCTAGTGGTGAAGTTGCACATTGCAGCTGAATACCCCTCACCTCACCCTCCCCTTCCAAACATGAAGGAGAACCATTTGTGGCTTCAGTTTCAAAAAACTCAAAAGGTGTTTAGTTTGTCCAGTCTGGGCTACTGAAAAAACATGGCGGCCTCCGAATCTAATCTCAGCTCCTGATGGCAAAAGCCCAGTCACCGTTGGTTACCAGCCTACAAGTGTTGGATCTTGGATAAATGGGATGCTGGGAGCATAGTGAGTTATAGCTCCGTAATATAACTGGGGGCCAGACTCT